TGTTACAAGTTTCCATTAGCTTGCACTGAAGAGTTGTGTGGCAATGAGCATCCACATTCATGGAAATAGGCACAGCCTAGTACTGAAATAGCTGGTGTCAGTCAATCCACCCACTTGCTTTCCGAGGGGTGAAGCCTCTCCTTTCCTGGAGCTTATGCCCCAGCCCTAGTTTTGCTACAATCATTTTAGGAAGCTGATCGCGCTGTGCTCAAGGAATCACATTGCTTTTTCAAAGCACTGGACCGCAGGCTTGTTACAGCCATTCTTGGTGTCCGTTCCAGCAAAAAGGCAGGAAGCAGATATGGAACAAACAGTTTCAGTCTCAAACTGCACAATGTAAATCATTAGTTGAATAGAGCCCTTGGATCAGTCCTCTCAAAGTCGAGGTAGAACAATGTGTAGTACTTTTGAAAAGAGAGTTTCTACCACAAACATCATCAAAGCCAACTACTTAATGTTGGCGCAGGCTTTAGGAACCTGGTGTTTGGTCTAGCTGGTCCTTATCTGCAAGAAAGGGGTGGAATACAGAGAATAAATGTGAAAATGATCCAGAGGTAGGAAAGCTGCTCAGCCATTATACAGGTTTAGGTTTAGAGACCTGGGGAACATTGCAGGACGAGTCAGTCTGAACAGACCAGCAGCCGTCAGAGAGCAGGCATGGTCAAGGCTGCTGTGAGACTAACGCAGAAAAAGCTGTTCCTGCAAAAGTCAGAGTAGCCTTAAGTAGTGCTCTATGCTCAAGTAAGGAGAGTTTTATTTTGGAATAGTTTTAATACTTGGAGAACAGTAAAACCAATTGTAGAGGATCAGAAAAAATATTGTGTGATGCCAGGGGCTGAACTGTGCAGTGGGAATGAGGCCATCGAATTTCCTCTGTAATTTGGATTTTTAGGTTTTTGAAGAAGCGGGGAGGGCACTGCCAATTACATCTGCCGATTACATCTTCTCAATGGGTGTGTATCTGCATTACCCAGCGGTACGGTACATTGTGAGAGGGACTCTGATACAACATGATGTGATGTACGCTGGCTGTTCATGCTACGAGTCTTGTGGTGGTTTTCTGCACACAAGCAGAAGTACGTCTGTCACATTGTGGTCCATCACCCTTGTGCACAATGGTCCATTGCCCTTGTGCACAATGGTCCTCAGCACAGAGAGCCCAGGCAGCCTTGGGAAGAGGCTAGCTGCCATCTAAAGGGGCCCTCTGTGTCAAATCTGTCACTGTCACTTTGCTTGCACAGCGCTATTCTTTGCCCTCACATGGCTGAAAAAAATCCCTCCTCCTTTTATCCATTTTACAACAGCTGTGGGAGCCTGTTTGGAGGTCTTAATTCATACTATTCATACTAGCACTATTTCTATCAACATAGGCCTGCATATAGTGAATAGAAGGTTTTTTCTATGGTTATAGACAATAAGAAGATAGTGGCTGGTCTCTTGTGGTACTCAGCTTCTGCTTTGCCAGTTTCCCTTCTGCAGAAGTATCTATCAACTCCTGTCACTTCACTGAAACATTTCTTTGACCAGTGCTCTGAAGACTTTGCTTGGAAGCTGAACCAAAGCATTGCCAGTGGTCACTGGGTGAGGCTGAGGTGTGTGACCTGGTGACAGCACACCATGATCAGAAGTGATGACGAACAGCGGCTGCACAATTTTTGGGGGCACCACCCAGTCACACAGTTAGGGCTATGAATGCACCTCAAGGTGGCTGGGTAGCCACCTGTCTGTCTGTCTGTCCAAGGAGGTCACTGTACAAATCCCTCCGCAACATTGTGCGCCACTGGCCACGTCTGAGGTCCTTCCACCCAGTCTTGAACAGTATGGTCCTGTTCACACTGTCCTGAGCAGGAGATCGTGCCCCAAGTACCTTAATGGCCTTTGAAGATGTGAACTGGGTCCTTTCAGTGCTTATAATACCTTGTGCTGGACATTATTAATAACACACAGTTAGTTATTGGACAAGACCAATAACATTGGCCAAGGACAAGGTTTCTGTTAGAAGCAGTAAAACTTACTGAGCAGGAGTGCTGCTGAACATCTGCAGCAAACTCAAACCTAGTATGTGTGAAAGTAGCTCAGAGCCCAGTGTGCCAAAGTAAAGCCCTCAGAGGATTAAACAAGCACATTGTTTTGCAGAAGGAAATTCTAAAAAGCGAGGGTCAGCATCACCTAGCTTGAAGAATTTCTTAAAACATTTTAAAAACAGGAGTTCACGTAATGAATGATAACAAGGACAATGTGAGAATAACAGAGAATTTTATTATAGTGTTTTACAGTATTGCATGGTTTAAAGGAAAAAAAAGGGCAAACCTCATCAGAATCCTCCTCTCTCTGCTGCTTGGAGCAAACTGGAGCAGTGTTCGGCTATTGAATTCTTTGGGCTTTCCCAGTGATTCCCAGTTCACAGCATGCATGTCCAGTTAGGTGCCAACCTCCATGGTACTCTCCCATCTGAAGACCTTCCCTAAGTTCCTTGTAACAGATACTCTGTGCTACCTTGCCAGAGAACTGATTTCTGTCCTTGTCTTTGGACTCATGGCCTTCATTTTTCAAAATACAGTGTGGCGATGATATTCAAATCTTGGGTAGATAAGTTAACTGTCTGGCAACTTCTGCGTAGTGCCAGTGAGCACACTCAAGTTTTCTGCCCCCTTGCAGAATATGCAAGCCTTCCATGAAGGCTCATCTCAAGGCACACCAGTGGAACATGAGATACTTGTCTTGCACTTTGTCTCCTATGTTTGGCCATTTCTGATTGCTATTTCTGAGCTTGAGTTGAAAGACTGAAAAAAAGTAGCTCAAGATTTCATTAAGAATTAAGGGTTGTAATGTGCTGGTGAGAGCTATTAGGATTTTGAAAATGATGATTCTAGAATTATCTTGGCTTTCAAAGCACATGCAGGTGTCTCTCAGTCAAAAAGCCAAAAACAGCGTAAAGAGAGTAGTTGCCTCCTCAACCTTTTATTATCTCTTGGGTGGTAGAGTGACCAAACCTGTAGATACTTCCAGCATCCTCTTTTTGCCCGTGCCCACAGCCACTGCTGGAGGACTGATCAGCATTGCTGTGTTCTACTCCATGTTTCAGTACCGTGTGTCCCCATTACCAACAGCATCCTGCATGCTGCAAGGCATGCTGGTGTGCAGTTCCACTGTGGTTTCACAGGAAAGGAGGCTTTTTTCTGCATATTAAAGGTTCATATAAACATGCTTTGTATAAATCTGCTGGGCAGGTGTGGATGGAAGGTTTCACAGTTAAAAAAGTGCTTATGTTCTGTCCAGGGCTTGGAGTTGTGACACTTCTCAACACTTTTCAGATCAAGGGCATGTATTTCATTTGTAATGCCCGTGTCACTTGCCCAGCAGCCTGGAGCCATCTTATATCACAGCACCATCTATTTCAATCATAAACATTACCTATATACCTGTGGTTCAGGCCTTATGTACTCTAACATAAGTACTGTCCTGACAGCTATCCAGTAACTCTGGCTACTGCTTGAAGTCCCATCTAGCTCCCAACCTGGTGAACTCTTTCAACATCCATTAACTTTGTGGTATCTGAACAGGTAG